GGTAGTAGGACCGCCTATGCCCGGGGAGAGCACCCGAAGCGCTCTTCTTTATAGCCAAAATCTTACTGAGAACATCTAAATCTATGGAGAGGGAACGGTCAAAACAAAGAGAAATGGACCCCACCACATTCTGTATGGAGTTCGGGTGGAGTTGGTCCAGGGTAATGTTAAAGTGTACCAACACCTCAACAATCAAAGGGTGAAGTGGAAGTCTGAGCCCGGCTATTAGTTGCTCCTTGAAGATCACGATCTCGTTGGGACCGTGCACCCATGGGAAGTTGCTGGTGGGAAGACTATATGAGTACTTGCTAGGGAGGCGGAACCTCTGTATGAGGTCCTGAAGCCTCTTCGAGGTCATTATGGAAGGCCCGAACTGATCTGGTTCCCGACCTCGGTGGGAGGTGGGCGCCAAATGACCCGAAGCCACCCGTACTTCGGATGACTGGGCAGCAGAGGGGACATCCCGAGCCGAGGTACCTATCTCGGGCTCGTCGATGAGATTGTCTACACTAGACGACATACCGAACTAAAAGAAAGAAACGAACTAGAAGGGAAAAGGAAGCTCGGGAGGGCTCACCAAAGAAACGCAACCAGACTGGAAGAACAGAACGAACTGGAGGACCCAAGCTAAGAAACCCCTGGCGCGAGCTCAAACGCTAACGACGAAAGCTTTGTGGCGAAGAAAATGGCCAAGGGACCCCCTATTTATAGCTGCGACCGCGGGTTCTTCGAGGCGAAAACGATTTAGCGCGTTTTTTACGTCCGTGAAGTCCAAGTCACGTGAAGTCTACGCATAATCTGGACGCGACTCGAATCTCTTTTCGGTCGAGCTAGGCGCTAGACCGGTACAACTAGATGGAACGCGCAACAACGTAGCATAAACACCGACGCCAAATCCACCCGGCGCGTCATGACCTCCCCGCGTTGGGCCACTGCCGCCAGCGCAGGGAGTGGGGGCAATTGATGGAGGGTGATTTGGCCCGACCTCGTAGCTCAGGTACACGTGGGTGTGACCTTGCTCAAACAGTGACTCTACATGACAGCACAACGGACGTGAGCACAACTCGGAGGGGAAGTTCCACCGAGTTCAGCACAGCAACTCGGCAGGTAAACTACTCGCCGAAAGCCGCCTTGCCCGCACCTCCTCCCCGGGGTTAAGGCACTTCGGGGGGTCCCGAGCTTGGGGCACCCTAACCCNGCACAACGGACGTGAGCACAACTCGGAGGGGAAGTTCCACCGAGTTCAGCACAGCAACTCGGCAGGTAAACTACTCGCCGAAAGCCGCCTCGCCCGCACCTCCTCCCCGGGGTTAAGGCACTTCGGGGGGTCCCGAGCTTGGGGCACCCTAACCCCTTTTGAGGCCCAAGCTCCTCCCAATGGACCTCGGGCCACTCCCAAGCAAGAACGCACCAATTCTTCTTCGGACGCCCCAATGCACAAAGACCTCGGGTCGGCTAGCTCGGCATAACCGACTGCAGGCAGCCCGTCACTCAAAGGACAACCCAGCTCAGGGTACTTCACAGGAGAACAGCTCGGTATACCATGGGAGGGCTTCCTGCTCGACCGTCGTACCCGACAAACCTACGAATAGCAGGCATGTCCCCTCGCCACGCCTGCCACCTTTAGAAAGGCATCCCACACCTAACAAACACGTACCCTACACGACGGCCCCGCGCGTGCCACCTTAGCCCTGCCTGTAATGGCTGCGGCAGACTAATAGTGACGGTTATATCTGCCCTGTCAGAAGTCAAAGGGGTTGGAGCAACGGAATTCGGTTATAAGGAACTTATTCTCAGGGAACAAGGTATCTTGAATCACTAGCACAACCTGCACTCTTAGTTTTCGTTCTCCTTCAGCTTCTAACACACAATACTAACTTAAGCAACGGAGTGTTCCTGCCGGGAGACCCCCCCGGGAGTTCTTCCTCTTTCCTCTCATTTCAGGTACCTCTCAGGAGCCACGCGAGCGCCAGTTAGGAGTGACTGGATTGTGCTACATCAAATACAAATACAAATTCCAATAAAGCATGTCTTTTTTATCAAAAGCCCACTTAAATACAAATTTACTTCTTTTTTATTAATGTACTTTTACATCTTATTATCAATGTAAATATGCATTAAAAGAATGTAGTTTTTATCATTTGTCAATGCATAAATGTAATGTTGTCAAACACAGGCAAAAATGAACCATAGTGCAAATTTATTCTAAACCAGGATTTACACTCCATTTGCATCATTTCCAAACGCAGCCTATGGTGAATGAACACACCCAACGCAGCCCACTATCCACTATATTTGTACTCTTCCCAAACTAAGCCTAAGGCTCAATTTGGAAAGAGTAGAAATACAAATACGTATAGTGCAAATACATACAAAATAATACGAGATACAATATATAAGTTCGGAAGGAGTACAAATACAAATATGTAGAGTGCAAAACATTGTATTTTGTATTATTTTGTATTTCCTACGACTACATTTGGTTGCAATACAAACGCAAATATGTACACTACATATTTACCCTCTTTTCGGTTCATGAATGTAAACACGGTTAAGATTTTAAATCGTTTTTGCACTTATCTTGTTTGTTTGAAATCAGTGCTAAGTGTGGGCTCCATCATTAAATACTCCAATGCCTTAACTTTGGTTAAAAAGTTGATTATCAAAAGAATACAAAATTGTATCCAAAAAATAAGTACAATAATGCTCTCTTTTCAGAGTACAAAAATGTCAAAAAATACATTTTTGATCTGATAATCATTACTTTTTTACATGTCAAATAAACGCTTGCAAACACAAACCGCAGTAAGAAAGGGGGGGAGGATTGGGGAAAACCGTCTTAAGATAATTAAAAGGAGGAAATTTGAAGCATATGTCCAATATAGATAAATCCATACAAAGAACGAGAAACCATAATCCAAGTTTATGAACCTAAAAATTGTTGCATCCAATTGATAATAATAATGCATCATCTCTCAAATCAAGCTTTCACACAATGACTGCAATAAAATATCAGCACCACATTTTTTCCCATCATCAACCCATGCACTGATAAACAACAATCTTTAAATAAAGCAAGAAAAAAAATAAACAGAAAAATTATTACAACAAACCCACTTAACTTGATTCATCCTTCTCCAACTTTTCATATCAATTGCTCAACTGCTTCAACATTCACCCTATTAAATAGAGATCCTCAAGCTTTTCTTTCACAACCAATGTCCTTGATAACCATGTGAAAAATCACTCCTCTCAATGGAGCAAGATTAAAACTGCATTACTGCTCTGGAATTTTGTCCTTCAAATATTTCAAAACAACTTTGGTTCCTCGATCCAAAATAGCCCGTCGGATGCTGCAAAAGTTTTAGCATGTAAGTTTGCATGCAAATTAACATTGAAGGTCATTGGCACATTTTTTATTGAAGAGTTCATTTCAGGTGGATGCAACATCTTGGAATGTTATGACACTATGGGGCGTACAAAAAGGCTAGAACATCATTAACTTTCAACTTTTAAATATTCAGTCACTTTAAATTGAAAGGGTGCATAAGATGACTATAGTGCCATACTGCCATTATAATGGCTAGTACAAACAAAGACTTAACTCCTTGCTAGGATGTCTCATGAGGCACCAAATCCAATTAGATCTGATCAGTTTGGTAATAACTTGACCAGGTTAACCTCCGAAAACTCAAAACACATACATACATTATATACATATGGAAACAGGTTTTCTAGGCAACCTATAAATCCTCCACATGGCAACTTAGTTCAAAGCTCAGGAACTTCTGTTTTCCTCTCCCAACCTTTATTCATAGAAAAGGATCCAGCCCTAAATATCTTGCCATGTGTTCAAAACAGACCTTCTTTTGTACCTTATATATATGGATGACTATCATCCATTGAGCATAACTGCACACATTCAATATAGGGTTAATAATGGACTATGGAATGGAAAATGTGACCAATCTAGTGACTCCCGTCCGATGGGTGGTCTAGATTGGCCGCAGTATTCCTCCACAAGGAAGAAATAGTTGGGATCGTGTAGGGAATCCTTGTGTATTTATAGGTCTATGCACCTTCCTCTTAGCACATAGAGCATAAAAAAAAGGATTTGTTGCATACCTTCTCAGTGGATTTCCATCAAGCCTCAACGCCTGTAGGCTGGTTTCAAGTAAACCCTGCCAAGCAGCACTCAACCTTAGAATAATGAAAACTGGTTGATCGTTATGTATCACTCTATGATATTAGTTCACGAAATCTCTTTTGATGCAAACAAATATTTACAGCCGAGTATGTAATGGATTAAAAAAAGCAGAGTAAAAAATGAATGATCAGGAAAATCTTGCATCAAACATTGAAAAGAATATCACGTTCATTTTAGAGAAAATAGATTATCATCTGAGAAAGCAGAATTTTGCATCATCATATGTCATTAAATAGAACCTAAGAAGTAAAGACAATAAAATCAAAATATAACTACAAAGACACTATTCAGACCAACTCAGGAGGAAGTGTCGTAATATTGTTGTCAGACAGGTCAAGCTCCACCAGTGAAGTAAGGTTCTTGAATCCCTGTATGCCAATAGTGAGAATGGTATAAGATACTTATGGTTACAGACAATGGACATGGATACAAGAAACGGGATACAATTCTCCATTTCCTAAAATCCTGGACAGACACAGAGTATTCCACGTAATGTGCTTATATCATGCATTTGTATCTAGTCTTTAAAGATAAATGTCATTGCTCAAGACTTGTCTTGCCAAATTTAATTGAATTTCTAAACATGTGCAAATTTTCTTTTATAGTATAATTTGTTAAAACATGCCACTTTACAAACTCAAGAAGTGTTAATGCTATAAAGTATAAGTAGAAATATCTATGTAGTATCCAGTATTGTATCCTAATTCCGATAAGTATCATATCCAACACAAATATGCTAGGCATATGCAGGAATCCACGTATCATAGTCTCAATTTGGAAAATAAAGAATGCAAGATCATTTGTAAAGAATACCATCTTGTTCTTAGGCTACATGTGGGATTTCTTTAAGGTTGGTTTGGTGGGCTCATCTAAGCTTGTGAGAATTGGATGAATCTCAACTATGCTGCACAGTCCTCACATTGACTAAAAGAACAAGGATTTGCATTACTTACAAGATGTTAACAATAGTAACACAATAGGTGACTACCTGGAATTGTTCACTAGATTATCCAAATTTATGAGTGGCATGTTCCATGTCAATGCTTGTCCATATCAACCCTATGATAAGCCAGTCTTTTGGCATGGGTTAAAAGGTAACAGCAGTGATAAAATATTTTTCTCTAAGGCTATATTTGGTTTGAAGGAAAAAGTAGGAAAAGGAAGGGAAATGTAGGGAAACCTTTACAAACCTTGTATAGGTTTCCCTGCCTTTCCCTACTTTTTCCTTCAAACCAAGCACAGCCTAAATGTATCAGTCTCATAGATTCAATAGCAGGACACAGCCAAATTGTGTTAATTTAGTGGAATTTCTAGTCAATAAGATGCAGTTTTGAACATTGTTTCTAATGGCTCAAGCAAGATGGATTAGCTTAGCAGATAAATGGCAAGGATAGATATTTGAATCAGATTGCAGTATCTATCACAATAATAAGGGAAAAGACTGCAAATTTCTACCTCCTGACATGTGCAGTACAAAGTTCAGCCAATAAGTGCCTCAGAACCATATCCCTTTCAATTGTAATTTGTGCAATAGATGTAGAAACCTCACAAAGAACCCCTAACATGAAGCTCCCATCTTAACAAATAAAGCTTAAAAATAAGAGATAACAAAAGAAAAGTGGGTTGCATGCTAACTATCTTCAAGATGCGATTTCGAGAGCAGGGTGGTTTTGCAGAAAAGGCTAGGACCAGACCAAAGCCGACAAGTTGGAAATTAAATTGGAATATAGACCCCAGTTGGGCCTGCAAGCCACCTTGCATCATCAAGTAAAGCTCAACTAATTTTGGAACATTTACCACAACATTTTCAGTTGAAAAAAGAAACGTCACCTCAGGAATGGTTTGAAGAGAATTTTGGCCCAAGTCAAGAATCCGTAGCTGTTCTAAGCTCATTATATCTAATGGGACTTCATGTAACTGCATCCGCCTTCAGGTTAAACATTAAAAGTTAAAGTGGAACACAGGCATAGAGAAATTACAGAACAAAAATAATTCTGGCTAACACAGACCTCAGATAAAGCTCCTGCAATTGTTGCAAGCTAGAAAGTGGTGGGTGTTCTTTGAACGAAGCTGCATTACCACTCAAATCTAGAATCTTGAGCTTTGAGAGGTCTCGAAATCCATCTGATGGAATCTGTAAGTATAGATAAACGAAGAACAAGGTAGAAATTATAAGAAAAAGGTCAAGAAATTCTGATTTGACTTGCATTTTTTCTTCATTTTAAGTAATAACCAAATTCCATGGGTTCCAGTCTTCCAGAAAAGATTTTTCCAACTACTTGAGTTCTAAGTTTCCTGAGGTTTTTCTCCATGCATTTACAAGCTGAAAGATAAGAGATTAAATGTGCTAGTGTTTAACTCAGTCGAATGTCGAATTCAATTTGGATTGGTTTCAGATGAACTTGTTGAGCAGAGACATTTTCCTTCTTGACAAGTTTATCATTGAAGAATGATGATAGGCAAGTTGTGGCCATAACTAATTCTCCCCAGAGTTACTACTGCATCTTTCTAGTTTATAAATAACAGAAGAAATCTAAAATCAAATGCAATATACCTGCTGCAGAAGATTATTGTTCAACTTCAGACATGATAGATTAGAAAGTGATTGTATAACTGCACCAGGCCATTCTTTTATCTTGTTGTTCGTCAAAATTAGAACCTGTATATTTGGATAAGAGATGAGATGAAATTAATAAGAATCCTCAACATGTTGAAAATAATCACTAACTCATAAAAGCTCCCAGACCAACTCAGATAATTGTCCAAGTTAACTTTGTTTGGCCATAGTCCAGGATATAAGACAATTTCAGATTTGTTTTCAGGTTTCTAATAGTTCTACTGAATTGAACCAAAAGGGTCTAGACAAACCATATGTATATAGAAAGAACAGGAAACAACAAAAGCAGGTCATTGAGGAGAGAGTATTTTTACCAAATATATGTTTTTGATATATTTGCCTACCATTTCAAAATCCTTTTTCCAATTTTACTAGAACAAAAAAGAGATCAGAATTGAAAGTTCTTTTGAAAATTTTCCCAAACGCTTGACCTACAAATATAAAAAAGAAAATGTTCCCATAAAAGAAAAGCCCCAATATAACAAGTGCAAACTAGTCTTTTGTTACTAGTATAACTGCTCATTTATCCCAAGTCCCAACTGACAGATGTGTCTCAGCACTCTTGGAACACAGTGTCCAAAAGCAGTGTTGCATGGAAAAAGACATGGGAATCTCAATCTAATGTGTGCAGGAGTAAGATGAAAAAAAAAAAAAACAAGGACTTGAATAGAAAGTATAAACTGTTAAAACAGTATTTTTTTTCAAATTCTAACTTATATACCTATAAAAAATGTCTAGAAGTTCATCTTTGTTACTTGATAATGGTTTATACTTCACGAAAAAAATGATATCCATCATGCATATTATCTGAATAAACAAGTAGACAAAGGAAAATGTTAAATCTGAGTGTTATCAAGAATCCATTGGAGTGTCAGTACCCAATGTGTATCCAAGACAGATGCATCCGCTTGGGAGATAGAGTCCATGCAACATTGTTCAAAAGTAATGCTGATAAGCATCCCTACTTTCAAATAGTCAATACATTCATCAGAAAGCTTCCCATTCAGCGACTGCTGAAAAGATGATCCATTGAATAGACAGAACCAACAAGAATATGCATTACATAAGCAGTAAATCACCATATATAATACTTTAAAAGCTTTGCATTTTGTAATTGCAAATATTGGTTGCATTATTTAACAAAAAGACTTGTCAGAAAAGAAACAATCTTTCTCTTCAGTATTCTGGTTAAATGAGGAACATATCAAATAAACCACTCTCTGCCACAATCACCACTCAATGCAGTAAACCACAACCAATCAGAATATTCACACTTCAATGTTGGTCGTCTTTTCCAAACCAAATTTTTGTATCAAAAAGGGTTGCAATATCTAAAATTACCTCGAGGGAAGTACACAATGACAACTCATTTGGAATCTCCTGAATAGAGTTCCTAGAAAGATCAACTTTCAAAATTTCACCTGATTCCCATACTGCTGAAGGTATAGCAGTCAGGGCCAAGCCACCTAAAGAAAGTTCCTGAGAGGGTAAACATAATAAGAAGTCAAATAACTCAGATAAGCATAGGTAAAGAAAGTAAGCAACAGGCAAAATCTAGACTTCCCACTGACCAACCATAAAGGTCTATAAGCAGCAGTCACCCAATATGCATGCAAAGATTAAGAGCTAGAATATCAAATTTCAGTAGGGAACTCTCCATAGGGGATCCAGACTTGAACAACAACATCAACTGCTAGGCTAGTGATAGACATGTCTACTGTATACATCCTAAAGAGGATCTCAGGTCAACACTCACTACAAATATACTACGAAAAATAAAACCTTTGAAGAGAGAGCTTCTCGAGTTGCAATGGCAATTTGATCTTCTTTCATAGGAGAAGTTGCAGATTCAGGCCCTACATGAGGAACCCAATTTCTATTACTTTCGGTCAACATCATAATAAAGAAAAAAAAAAGCATATGAAAACATGATAGCGAACATTAACCACAACAATACATCTAGAAAGATTACTAGATAAAGAAATGGTTAAGAGACAAATTATAATATAATAGAATGAATATGGTTGCAATCAACATACCTTCAGCATCAGGGAGTCTGGTTCTAAGATACTTCAGTAAAGTGGGTGTAGGTCCAGACACCAATGAGCTGAGAGAAAATAAACTACAATTAGATACAGTAGCAAGCCTAAGCAAGCTTTGAACTTGGGTAAATGACCAACCATTTCTTCAAACCTGCGAAGAGTTCGCAAGGGGTTGCCAGTGAGAAGAAGTTTTCTGAGGGTCGTCATTGTGCCTACAACATTATCATTATTGGAAAGCAGCATCTAATTCACAAATAGTCATAACAAGACATTTATGGGGAAGTGTAACAGATCATAGATTAAAATGACCATTGTGATATGGATTCATATTACATAAGCAAAGAATGCAGAAAAGATATATTTCTACATATTCTTGGTATTCCATGAAGATGTATTTACATACAAGCATCAATTACTATGGACAGACATTTCCCATCCAACAGAGAAAATTATTAAAAGTAAGGACACTGCATGGCTAATAAGCTATTATATTGCATGAAATGCAAAACAAGTATCTAATTGATAAGAACTGGTATTCCTATCATATCTTTCAGATGGTGAGCATTCTTTTCTCCTCCCTGATTGAATTTATACTCAATCTTGGCTTGGTTAAAATGTTCCTCCTAAGGATAAATGGAAGGATGCAATGCCAGTAAGATCTAATATCTCCTGCCACTTCATGAAAGGAAAGAGCGATTGTAAAAGGCATTTAAAGATATTAGTGTACGGATGAAGTACTGTCCAAGTATCTTTTAGTACTAGATTTCACCCCTTGTAATTTTTTTATTAGTAAAAGAAACTTCAGAATGAAAGAAAGAATGTGAGATTTACAATGGTGTTAAACATCCCAAAGCATGTATCCAACATATGCAGAAAATGCAGGGAAAGGGGTGCTTTCTACCTAGATAATGTAAAAGCAGCATTATGTCACAATGAGAAAAAACTATTAAATGGAAGGAGGTATTCTCTTGTGATACAATGCTGATTTTCATTATCAGGAACACACAGATATAGAGGGAGCATAGACAGTAAGAGGGGTTTGGGGTGGGAATAAACCAAAAAAAAAACAGGTTTAACCCAAATTGATGGTCAAGGTATGCTAACCTTACCAATCTGAGGTGGCAGTCCAGATAATGCATTATTTGACAAATCCAGGACTGACAAACGCAATTTGCATGCCTCCACAGGATACTCTTTCAGCTGCAGGAATTACAAAACACTTAATAGCTATATATCAGTTGATCCTTTTCCAGACTAGTACTGCCACTAAAGTTAAGGAGTGAATTATGAAAAAGATAACCATAAGCCTTAAGAAGAGAAAAGACAATGTCTTAGACTTGTAGCAATTTACATTTGATATGCAAAGAAAAGATTCTTGTAAGAGTGTGGAGAATAGTTATGTAAGAAAAAATATATATATGCTCTATGTATCTGGCACAAGGACCCAAGAAATGTTTAGATCATCTTCAAGAAGCAGGTATGATTTATTTCTGGTTTATTTATTGCTTCTATCTTGATCACTCTGTGCACTTTATTCCTGATCTACATTCTGGTGTTTCTGTTGAGAATGTTTGGGCAAAGAGTATTTTGTCTTTTCATTATCTTTTGTATTTAGGAACCCAAGTGAGGGCGTTCTTGTAATTTTCCCTCAAAATATAAATGACAGATTTGATGGTGTGAACAGTAACACAGACCTCATTCGACGGTCTCTCTCCTCTTCTCTCTTCTTCTTTCTCCTCCTCCTCTTCTTCTTTTCTTCTCTCTACAAACCCTAGACTGACTTCTTGGTATTAGAGCAAGTAGAGGCTCTTGGGAGGACTCTTTCCTCTGGTTTTCTCCTGTAGGATGAACTGCTGACATCAGACCACCGCTGCTGACTTTTTGGTATGGTTCTCATGTTAGACAGTTTTGTATGCCCTTAGCTTCAATCATTTTGATGTACTTTTGTTATTTAGTGGAAATAAATAAAGTGCATGTTTGATTCATGTTGTTTGGTTTAATTCTGTATAAAACCCTAAAACTGGAC